CCATCATTAGGATACACGTGAGTTCACGTGACCTCTGACCCTCGTCCTGCGCGGTTGGCTCCTTCTCGCCTCCTGAATTGCTTTTCTGGAACTGCTTTCTTGGACGGTGGGGAGGCCCAGCTCCTGCACTGGTTCAGCCCTGAGGTGCGTGGAAGGTGCCTTCAGAATTGCTGACCGCGTCCCTCTGAGAAGCAGGTTTGCTGCCAGAGCACGGTGTCTGTGTGTGGTCCTCGGCCCTTGCCTTGGTTTCCCCTGTTACTGAGGTCGGCCCGTCTCCACTCCCGTCAGCGAGGTGGCGTCACCCAGCTGCATCAGGGTCGCCTGTCACAGTTTCTGTGATTCCGCCCTGGGGTTCCCAACATCCTGCTTATAAGACAGATCTAGGTTTTTTTCTTAAAAAGTTGTTACAAATTGTTGAACGTAAGTGTGCTGGATCTTGGAGTTCCAGCACAGCTCATAAAGACCCCCTTTTCTGAAAATAAGTCCAGAATTTGGGGGTGAGGCCCAGTTAAAGGCTGACCTTGGTCACACTGCTGCTGGTCATCGGTGACCGGCTGGTCCAGGGCAGACATCTGGCCCAAACTGGACTCAGCTGAGTCCTCCTCTAAGATTTTCCAAACTGAACCCAAGGAGGGACGTCCAGGCTCCGTGAGTTTTTGATAAAGACAGAGAGTTATAGTTACGCGTCCATCACCCTGTACCACATAGAACGACTCCGTAGAAACGGAGAGAAGACCTGGCCTTTGTCAAATGCGATGTGCAAAGGGCAGATGGAGATGTGGAAAGATGCTCACATCATCGGCCACTAGAGAGCATCCGGCATGGCTGACACCAGAACACTGAGGATTCCCCGGGCGGGGAGACTGGGCGAATAGGTCGTGAGAGGCCGGCCAGCATGGTGGACACCGGAGCGCTGAGAACGTCCCGAACCAGCGAGGATGGGGCGAATCGGTCACTGGAGACCGGCCGGCATGGTGGACGCCGGAGTGCTGAGAACGTCCCGAACCGGTGAGGACGCAGCGACAGGAACCCTTGTCGGTGCTGGCGGGAGTGCACGTGGTGCAGGCCCTGTGGGAAACGCTCTGGTGGTTTTTAAGAAAACTAAACATATTCTTCCCGTGGGATCCGGTATTCACTGTCCTTGGTGTTTACCCAAAGGAGTCGAAGACTTGTGTCCACAGAAAAACCTGCACGCAACCTTTATGGCAGCTTTGTTCATCATTGCCGGAACCTGGACAGGGCTGAGAAGCCCCGGACGATGGTGCACTTGGGCTGCAACGCGCCTCGGCCCTTAATTCATGCAGCGACAGGGACGAATCCTAAGTGCGTTTTGCTGAGCGGAAGAGCCAGCCCCAGAGGCCACACGCTGTGAGTCCATTTATGGGACTCATTTATGGGACATGCTGGAAAAAGCAAAGCCACGGGGGGTGGGTGGGTACCGATCCGCGGTCACCAGGCTGGGTGGGTACTGATCCGCGGTCACCAGGGGCTGGGAGCGGGGTGGCCGCAGAGGTATGTGTGTGGATGGAGCTGCTGCAACAGTTTTCAAGTTCAGACCCACCGCAGGCCACAGCTTTGGGGTCAGTTGGGGACACTCACGTGCCTGCACATCCCTTAGAAACAGGTCTGTGTGGGTGTGACCTGTCAACAACAGAACCACCACACACTCCCCACAACATGACCTGCCACAACGTAACAGCTACACGCGCCCCACGGGTCTGCCGTGTCACTGCCACACGCTCCCCACGGCGTGACCTGCCCATAATGAAACCACCACATGCTCCCCACGGTTGTACCCGCCAACAATATAACGGCCACATGTTCCCCACGGGCCTGCCGTGCCACTGCCACACGCTCCCCATAGGTGTGCTGTGGAGAAGCCAGGCCGGGAGGGGAGGTCCAAGTGCAGACGCACAGTGGGAATTCCCGCTGGCCTCACGGCATGCTGTGAATGTCACCAACGCAGGAACGACAGGACCTATGCGGTGCGTGGGTGAGCTGGCGCGTCCTGCTTTACCGACAGGAAGCCAGGTCTCAGAGAACGGACTCGCCCACTTTCACTGTATGAGTAGCACTTTGGGGGTCTTCCGTGGGGCAACCAGTCATTCCCCAAGAGCTTGGACGCCGGTGCCGCCTCTCACGTGGGTGATCCCGTGGCTAGGAGCTTGGGTGAGGACCAGGATCCACTCATTTGTGTCCTTCAGGACTGGGGCAGGAGAGGGTGGCTCTGGCTGGAGGTGCCAGGGCACTATATCTGGAGCGAAGGCCTGGCTCTTTTGGGGACCCTCAGTCCTTCTCCAAGTGGCACAAGCTGGTGCTGGGGAGGCCCTGGGCCAGGCTGGCTGGGCAACACTCTCTCCACCCAGCCTGCTGTTTGGCTGCCTTGGGCTTGCTCCCGGCACCTTGGCCTTGGGGAGGTCAAGCCCCGTATGTGGTGGTGGCTCCTGCAACAGTGGCCACAGGCCCTGGCCAGTGCAGGAGAGGCTCACATAGGGCGAGAGGCCAGGGAGCGAGGCTCACGGGGTTGCTGGCTGTCAGCTCTCCGAGAGAAAAGTCCTGTGCCCGGTGGGGCCGAGTTTATTGGAGCCATTGTGGTGAGGGGTCTGGCCTGCAGGGCATGGGGGGCGAGGATGCACACGTGACCGGGACCCAGGACCCCCTTCCCAGGGCAGCTCCCGTCAGCACACGTGACCGGGACCCAGGGCCCCCTTCCCAGGACAGCTCCCGTCAGCACACGTGACCGGGACCCAGGGCCCCGGGCCGGGACAGCTCCCGTCAGCACACGTGAGCGGCAGGGCCCCCTTCCCAGGGCAGCTCCTGTCCAGCACATGTGACCAGGACCCAGGGCCCCCGGCCGGCGCAGCTCCCGTTAGCACAGCTGGACCCCGCCATCTCGTTGTCTCCTCGGCTCTTCCTGGACCTCCCTCCAGGCGGATCACCGCACCGTTCATCGCGGGAACTTCCCGAGAGACCCATCAGCTCTTTCACAAAAGCATCCGCAATTTACAACCCAAAACCATTGGAAGCCGTGAGCCCCTCCTCGAGTGGTGTCCACCAGCCTTACACTGTGACGGCCGTGACAGCGTCCTTTCCAGGGCCACAGGCCCCACCTGCGGGAGCTTCCCCTCCTGGCCTCCCTCTGCTGCGGTCAGAGCTAGGGCGAGCTTGCACCGCGGTGATGGGCGACCCGGCTCTGTCTTGCCCACGGGGCTGCCCGGTGGGAACCGGCTGGGTTGGGCAGAGTTTGGGGCAGGTTGACCCAGGAACGGCCGTGGGTCTGTGCAAATAGCCTGAAAGAACTGACAGACACCCGTCCTGATTTTGGATGAAGACACTGCACGCCCAGTATGAGGGCGTCCTTTTTGTGAATGGAGGGGCGAGCCTGGATGTGCGAGCGTGGTTTCGAGAGTCCGTTCTTTTAGGCTGTTTGCAGTCCTCACCAGAAGCGAGTGTTTCCTGCCCCGGTGGGTACGTTGGCTTGTTCGCACGGCCTGGGAGTTTTGGGGGCAGCTTTTCTCCTGGCAGGGCCTGAGTCGTGACACTCGTCTGGCAGACCCAGGCCTTTCTCTGCAACATCAGAGGATGTCGCTGTGGACTGGCTGGTCGGTTTTCAGTCCTGGGCCGAGCACCTCTCGCACCTGGAGTCCTTGTGAGCGCCTGTAAGGGGCCTTCGTGTGGCCATGAAGGAAACCAGCTCGACCTGCAGAGGTCACCTTGGGAACCCACAGAGTGGCCACACAGCAGCGGCTGGTAGAAAGGACTTTATTCAGAAATTGGTGCCAGGACAGGAGGGAGCCATGCGGACAGTCACGCTGAAGCCTGAGCCCAGTGCTCCCCTGAGGTCAGTCCTGACCGCTGGAATGTTGATTTGCACTGGACACTATCTTTGTTAAATACAAAATCTGAAAATGCGGGCGTGGGTCTGCAGAACATAATCCTCATAGAAAAGCCTAAAAAAAGTGAACTGCATTTCGTGGCCAGGACGCCGACTTCCTCTCATGTTGCATCGAACCAGGGCCCGGATGTCTCCAGTGAATTTATGTGGGAAAACACGTCTTGACATTAAAAATGCGGCGATTTGTCACAAGTCACAGTTTTCCTAGAAATGCCACTAGCTGGCTGCTCTAAAGAATGGCTAATCCTAAAAATCAAAAGCACAATCCTGGGTCTTGTGGTGATTGGCACCACGAGAGCCACACTGAGCTGGGGCGGTGCCTGGGGCTCTGGCCGCCCAGCTGCAGAGGCCAGTGTGGATCTGACCGTGCAGGTCTCCCATGGCCCTGGTCGGGGACTCCACATCAGCTGCCCGGGGTCCGAGAACCTGGGCGAGGGCTCGGAGCCATGGAGGCAGCGCACTTCCTGTCTCCTCTGGCAAAGCGTGAGTGCGTGGCGAGCTGTGGAGGCAGGGCTGTGGGCGTACATGCATGGCTGCTGGAGGTGGTGGGCAGCGGCGGCCCCTGGGGCATGAGATGGGTGGGGGCACTCTCAGGGACCCCCGCTGCAGAGCCTCTGCCTTGGACCTGCTGTGAGTGTCCTTTCCAGGAAGCAGGGCCTTTGTCTGGGCGCGGCTGCCTCACCAAGGGCTGTTCTAAGCTGGGGGGCTCTGGGCCCTTGGGGAGCAGACCCAGCCCAAGGTGCCTGCTCCAGCAGCAGGCCTCGGGCACCTGGGGGTCTGGGCTGGGGAGGAGGGGCACCGGGCAGGGGAGGGGGACGGGGGTTCTGGGGCTGGGTTGTGGAGGGTGAACCCAGGCAAGGTCTCGGACGGGAGGTCTCGGAGCCCCGCGAGCTGTGGTTGGCATGCCGCTCAGAGGTCCGCTTTGGTCCTTCGTTGCTCAGCCCACTGAGGCTGGCTCAGAAACCTGCTTAGGGAGGAGCTACTCTGAAGTCTGTTGAGTTGGCGGGGGGCTGTTGCTGTTTTGTGGGGTCGTCGCTGAGAGCTGGGTAAGGGCCACTTATCTGTGTATGAGGCGCAGACAGGCATAAAACTCCTGGGAAGGTATCTTTCATTTTCATTTTTAAATTTAGCTCTTTAATTTTAGCAGAAACACGCAAACCTCCAAGACTCTTGTGCCCGTCCTGGCTCCGTCTGCTGGGAGGAGACCAGCTCTGCCTGTCCCTATGGGGTCCCCTGAGCCTCCACCTCCCGGCCCAGCTCCCCAGGGCTTGGGGGCAAAGGGGCCTGGATAACAGCCGGGCCTGAGATGTGGCTTCTGCCTCCCGGCCCACCCCCCGCAGTTGGGTTTGGATCTGGAATTCCACACCAGGCCCAAGCTCGGCTACTGGAATGTGGCCTTCATCCTCCGTAGCTTGTCCTGGATCTTCCGTGAGTGCTTCTCGCTGGAGACCTGGTGGAAGTTGGCCCTGCTGTCTGCAGCCAGCGTGGAAATGTCGGCACCGCTGAAGCGGGCAATCCTCTGCTTGAGGTACGACTGGAGCTTGGGGTCGGGGCTGAAGGTGTAGGGGTTCTCCTGGAATGCGTGCACCTGACTCACCACCTTCGCGATGTTCCTTCCGTTGGGGAAAGAAGAGACATTAGTTTGCACAGGGAGGGGCGCAGCTTCCATGCGGAGGGCGTCCCCCCGCGTTCTTAGGCATCATTTGAACTAAACCTTTTCACCGTGTAAACACTGAAGGGTGTTTTCTGTATTTATTGGCGAGGCCGAACCTCACGTCACTGCTCAGACCTTTCCGTGTGTCTAACTGTCCATCCATCCACGCTTCAGTCCACACACGCTTACGGAAACCCCGCAGGGTCAGGCTTGTCCGTGCCAAGCGTCCCAACAGGAGTCAAGCCCAGTCGGCCGCAGGGGCTGCAGCTGAGAGGACGAGGCAGGCAAGGAACTCTGCCGCCGTGCGGAGCGTTCACATCTGGGAATCGCCGCGGCCGGGGCCAGGGCCGTGTTCCCGGGAGAGCTGGTTGTTGACAGTGACCAGCTGTTATACCATGGGATATAACGGAGACAACTGGCCAGTCAGGAACAGGAGCCTTCACCCGGGCCTGGGAACGGTGGTGCCACAGACGGACGCCCTGTCCTGATTTTGGACGGAAACACTGCACACCCAGTGTGAGTGACAAAGAAAGGGACGTGCATTATGTCAAAGAAGGGGCAAGCCTGGATGTGCACGTGTGCACACACGCATGCGCATGTGCACGCGCACGCACACACACACGCAGATGCATGCACGCGCACGTGCGCACACGCACACACAGGCACACACACACCTGCACACGCGCACACGCACACACATGCACACGGACGCCGGGAAGAGCATGCCTGGTTGGGCTCTCAGAGGCACGTGGATGCTGGGACGGGCAAATCTGGAGGCGCTCACATAGGCACGTGGATGCCATGAAGGGCAAGTGCCAGTTTTGGCTTGTTTTCTTTCCTGATTGTGCATCACCTTATGTTTTGTCTTTTATTTTGAGACAGAGTCTCGCTCTGTCACCCAGGCTGGAGTGCAGTGGCATGATCTCTACTCACTGCAAGCTCCGCCCCCCGGGTTCCCGCCATTCTTCTGCCTCAGCCTCCCGAGTAGCTGGGACCACAGGCGCCGCCACCCCGCCTGGCTAATTTTTTTTATTTTTAGTAGAGATGGGGTTTCACCGTGTTGGCCAGGATGGTCTCGATCTCCTGACTGCCCGCCTCAGCCTCCCAAAGTGCTGGGATTACAGGCATGAGCCACCGCGCTGGCCTTTTTTTTTTTTTTTAAGACGGTGTTTTACTCTTGTCACCCAGGCTGGGGTGCAGTGGCATGATCTCAGCTCACTGCAGCCTCTGCCTCTCGGGTTCAAGTGATTCTCCTGCCTCAGCCTCTTGAGTAGCTGGGATTACAGATGCCAGCTACCACACCTGGCTAATTTTTTGTATTTTTAGTAGACACAGGGTTTCACCATGTTGGCCAGGCTGGTCTTGAACTCCTGACCTCAGGTGATCTGTCCTCGGTCTCCCAAAGTGTTAGGGTTATAGGCGTGAGCCACCACGCCCGGCCTACCTAGGGTTACAGGCGTGAGCCACCATGCCCAGCCTACATACGGTTACAGGCGTGAGCCACCGTGCCCTGGTACAGGGGTGAGCCGCTGTGCCCGGCCCGGCCTACCTAGGGTTATAGGCGTGAGCCACCCAGCCCAGCCTACCTTAAGTCTTTAACTTCTCTTTTGCTGACTTGGGTTTTCTGATCTCTTACAATGAGCATACACTTACGGCATACTGTAAATGTTGTTTTTTGATTGGTGTCTGTCTAAGAAGGGGACCTTCACTTGTCAGGTTGGGGATCCATGGGCACCTGGTGCACTGGGCATTGCTCCCCAAGTGGGGCCATCTACCGTGGAGGAGGGTGGAGCTGCCCTGGCCTGAGCAGCCTCCACCTGACCGTGTGTGGACAACGGCGGGCGACGAGAAGAGACGGGACGGTGGGAGATTGTGTCTTGAGGGAGAGGGTGAGGCTTGGGGCTGTGGGCGCCTGAAGGCCACTGGACACAGGCCTGGGCCTCCGAGGAGAGGCTGGCCCATGTCCGTTACCACGTGGAAGAGCCTGCGTGGCCTGGGGCGTGAGCCCTGTGGGTCGTGGTGGTGGGTTTTACAGCCAGCCCCAGTCTGCGCCTCCCAGGTGGTTGGTCCCAGGTGCTGGGCAGGTGGACGGCAGGACCACAGGCTGAGGAGGGATCCTGGGTCCCACATGCACGTCTCTAGGGAGAGGGGTCTGGGGGGGGCAGGGACACCGTGTGGCACCCAGGGTCAGGGCAGGTTGCTGCCGGGCAGCCTCTGCTGCAGAGACCCTCAGGGTGAGGTGGGAAGTGTGCCTGGGTCGCAACGCAGGGGTCCCAAGAGACCACGGGGAGTGTTTTGGGGCCATGGACGGCAAGAGTGCAGGAAATCTCCAAATTTGCAGAGAAGGAGGTGGCTGGAGGTTATCCTGTGTAGAGGGAGGTCTGAGGCTGTGAGTGCCAAGTGAGGGGCAAGGTACCCGGGCTTCTGAAAAACAGGGATAGGAAGAGAGGTGCCACCTGAGCCTGCCCCACCTGGGCACGTGCCCACCTGAGCCTGCCCCACCTGGGCGTGTGCCCACCTGAGCCCCTCGTCACCTGGGCGTGTGCCCACCTGAGCCCCTCCTCACCTGAGCGTGTGCCCACCTGCTCCTCACCTGGGCGTGCGCCCACCTGCTCCTCACCTGAGCTTGCTCCACCTGTGGGCCCCGTTGGTCATGGTGAAGCCACCTGTCTCCAGCTGCTGGATGTGCATGGCCAGGAGGTGGGCCGAGGGCAGGGTGGGCTGTGCCCGGAAGCGCCGCCCTTCCATCAGACACAGGCTGTCGCTCTTCAGGAAGACCTGGTGGTCCAGCCGGGGCGTGGGCCGGGGAGAGACAGGGCGTGGTCAGAGCAGGAGCCTCGCCGGGGCCAGTGCAGCCCAACCAGTCCCAGCTGGTCCTGCGTTCTCCACACTCGGGGTCTGCCCGGCTCTCTGAATTAGCTTCCAGTCTCGAATGTGCCTGGATGGTTGGACTTGGCTCACACCTGCAGGGTCTTAAGCTTGCATGGCCCTGACGGCCGCTGGGAGGCTTTGCGCCTCCTGCCACTGAAATGGTGAGTCCCTGTCTTTGCTACTGAAATGGTGAGTCCCTGTCTTTGCTCTCTGCTGGACTCCAGCAAAGTGCCAGGTGACCCAGCTACCCAGCTTCCCTAAATGAGACCCTGGCCAGTGCAGGCCCCGCTCTGTGTGTCCAGCAAGGACAGGCAGGAGCCGTCCCACCCGCGGACAGCTGTGGTTGGGGCCTGAGGTCGAGCTCTGAGACCCAGGACGGGACAGGCTCTGGCTGCTCTGGGGCTCGTCTGTGTCATTTTGGGGGATGCCCCCTCATTTCCAGCGGCGCTTCCTTGTTCATTATCTCACCCCTGCTGTCCTGGGGGAGATCCAGGTTGGTTAAGCTCAGGCCCCAGCCACAGACCTCAGTGCTGTCCTCTGGGCACCTGTGCTCTGTGGGAGGAACTCAGGCCAGCAGGGCCCCGTGACTGAGCAGGGGGGACACCTTTGCACAGGTGGCAGCAGAGGCCCCGCCGGGAGATGACTCCTGGGCCTCAGTGAGGCCACCCTGGCTGGGCCACCTGTACACACTCAGTGGTGCCTGCGTCTGGGTGCGGCAGACTCTGCAGAGCAGGTTGTTTAGGAGGGGGCCTCGGTGCACGAAAGCCGCAGGCCATGTAAAGTGCTGGTACCTCCACGGCTTTCAGCTCCTCCATGACCTCTGCTATCTTTGCAGGCAGGATTCTCCAGGCCTGAAATGGAAGCACAGGTGAGACTCCTGCGGCCGCGCGGGTGCCCACCCCCTCCTCGGGGCCCGAGGGGGACGCACGGGGGACTGCCTCACGGCCAGGTGCTCCAGCCCGCTCAGGATCTGCATGGCTGTTGCGAAGTTTCTCTGCTCATAGCAAGATTTTGCAATCAGCAAAAATTTGGACAGCAAGTTGACCTGCAGCTGCAATGAGAAAATGACACATTCAGCGTCTTCTGGTTTAAGATGAACAAAGGGAATATTTGAGAACCTGTTAAAATCACCCAGCGCCAAGACACAAGAGCGTGTGCTGCATCACGTGTGTGGAAAGGAAGCGGCTGTGTGGACGCAGGTGAGCGGTGGCTGTGGCCGTGGAGGGGCTGGGCTGGCAGGATGGGGTGGGCATGACTTGAAACAAAACAAAATAAAAGCAATGCCTGATACATGGAAAGATTTGAAAAGAAGTCCACCCTCCCTTCTCAAAAGCAAGATTGTGCCAGGACGCACCTCCCCAGGCAGCTTCAGGACTGGAAAAGGCGTCCCCACCCAGGGAGCGGCCACTGTCATGTCCACAGGCAGATGGGGAGCCACAGGCAGCTCCTTTCCCACCCCCGCCAACCCTCCACGCTGCGCCCGTGGCAGGAGTGTTTGGGTGCAGTCCCTGGGGGGTGCCTGAGTGCCCCCCTCCTCCGGGGCTCTGGCTGGCGGTGACGACCCGACCGGCTTTGGTCCTGGCGGTGATGACCTGGCTGGCTTTGGTGGGAACAATCATGGGTGGTGAATGCCCCACCCAGCAGGATTCGTATTCTGAGCTGTCCCAAGGGGCTGCGTTCTCGGATCTACTTCTAGGGCTTCAAGATTCTGGAGAACTCAGCTGACCCCTCCTGTTGGAGCCGCCTGTCCCTGAGGAATCACCTTGGCCTGGGCCGTCCGTTAGTGGAAACCAAGGCTGCAGAGTCCAGCTGGATGCCGTCCCCTGGCTCGACTCCTTTTTTCTTTGAGACGGAGTCTCGCTCTGTCGCCAGGCTGGAGTGCAATGGTGCGATCTCGGCTCAGTGCAGCCTCCGCCTCCTGGGTTCAAGCGATTCTCCTGCCTCAGCCTCCCAGGCGCCCGCCACCACGCCTGGCTAATTTTTGTATATTTAATAGAGACAGGGTTTCCCCATGTTGGTCAGGCTGGTGTGGAACTCCTGACCTTGTGATCTTCCTGCCTTAGCCTCCCAAAGTGCTGAGATTACAGGCGTGATAATTTTTGTATTTTTATTAGAGATGGGGTTTCACCATGTTGGCCAGGCTGGTCTTGAACTCCTGACCTTGTGATCCACCCACTTCAGCCTCCCAGAGTGCTGGGGTTACAGGCGTGAGCCACCGTGTCTGCCCCTGGGCTTGACTCTCGTCTGCAGGGACCCTGTGCAGATGAAGATGGCCTGAGATGATCCTGGGTTCGCCCCGACTGCGGCCCCAGCTCTCCTGCCCGAGTGCCTTGAGAGGGGCTTGAGAAGTGTTTACCGGATACACTTTCTACGCTGACGTCTCAGTCTGTCTCTTCATCGGTTTAAGTAGATGCAAAGTGTGTAATTTTGAGATAAAACTGTTTCACTACCCTTTTTTATTTTTGTCTTAACCTTTTGATTTTTAATTTTAAGAAGCATGTAGACGATTTGCCCTTGTAGCCTTTTGTAAGTGCGCAGGTCAGCCGTGTTAACTACGTCCACATTGAGCAACAGATCTCTGTGACGTTCCGTCTTCCCAAACAGAAACTCGGTCCCCGTTCAGCACGAGCTCCCCACACCCACTCCCCACCCCCGGCGCCTGCCCTGCTGCTTCGTCTCCGGGAATCCGGCACCTCCAGGCGCCTCGTGTACGTGGAGCCGTTCGGTGTCCGGGCTTCATGACTGGCTCATTTCTCTGAGCCCGAGTCCCTCGAGGTTCCTCTCCCTGCCGCAGGTGTCAGAATTTCCTTCCTGTTAAGGCCAAGTAAACTCTCAAGATACGAAGAGGCCACATTTTCTTTATCGGTTCTTCCCTCCATGGACGTGGGGGTGCCTCCACCTCTTGGCTATGGTGTTGCATAATTTTAAACAAATCTGAAGAAACCAAAGTCCTGTTTTGCTTTCAAACTCTCCAATCTTAGTTTTTATTTTTTTGAGATAGAGTCTCGCACCGTCGCCTAGGCTGCCGTGGTGTGACCTCAGCCCACTACACCCTCCACCTCCGGGGCTCCGGTGATCCTCCCACCTCAGCCTCCCGAGGAGCTGGGATTCTAGGTGTGTGCCACCAGCCTGGATACTTTTTTATATTTTCAGTGGAGATGGGGTTTCGCTGTGTTGTCCAGGCTGGTCTCAACTCCTGGGCTCGAGCCATCTGCCCTCCTCAGCCTCCCAAAGGGCTGGGGTTACAGGCATCAGCCGCCGCGGCCGGCCTGCATTTTCTTAAGGTGAGAAATTTTACGCTGTTTTTTCCTGCGCTTCTGTCTCCACCTCGCCTCCCTCCGGATGTCGTCTAAATGGAGCCACCGAGACACTGTCTGAACGGAAACACTGATCCCCCGTTTTCCTAAGGTGAGAAATTTTACTCCGTTTCTTCTTGCCCTTGTCTCCACCTCGCCTCCCTCCAGGCCTCGTCAGAATCCCCGAGTGCTGTGATTGACCTCCGCTGCCCTCTGTGCTCAGATTCTGTATTTTAACTATTTTCTGGGGTCCTGAATTGACAAATGTGACACTCAGTGTCCGTTCCGACAGCCCAGCCATTGATACACAATACGTCAAGACATCGTGTATCTAACACTCGTTAGATGGATGAGTGTGGTCTCACACGAGTGGGTCTCCGGCGAGGTCTGTCCGCTCCCACGTGGAGCTGAGGGGCCCGTCCTGAGTGATCCGTGGCTCCCTTTTGCTAACGGGGATGCGGCAGGAGTGCCGAGCTCTGTCCCGGCCACGCTGGGCGCCGGCAGCCCTGGGTGTGAGCCTGCACAACTCCTGCCCACTCCGCAGACCTGGACACGGGCACGTGACCAGGCGAGTGGCCATCCTGGAGACCCTCAGGCAGGGCCCCCACAGGCTCGAGGTGGTCTCAGGTTGGGAGGGGTGGTCTTCCACCCGCTGGGGCAGCTCGGGGTGAGGGAGCGCCCAGGACGCTGCGGGTTGGCCAGGTGTCGGCCAGCTGTCCTTGTGCTCATCCTCACGAAGCCCAGCCACGCGGGCCGTGTGTGAAGGCTCTGGTTTAGGGAAATCACATTTTGATGTCCCTCATGGTACTGGGAAAACCGTGGATCAGAGCAAACGGGCAGCCAGGCTCTCTGTTCCCATGTCCCGCGCTGGTGTGCCCTGGCAATAAGTCCCCAAAGCTGGAAAATTCTCCCCAAGGGAGGAGAGAAGGTGGCGCCTCTGCCTTCCTTTACAGGCCCCAGAGTTGCCTGTGGCGTTGGGGGGGGGCGTGAAGGAATAACAGGAAGGGAAGCTCTGTCTACTGTGGAGGTGGCTTTGCCGCCTGGCAGGGAGGTACTGCACCTTGGTGGACTGCGAGCAGCTCCTGGTTCCCCCAGAGCCTTCGGCCCACTCTGGGACGGCAGCAGGGACAGCAGTGATGGGGTTCATGGCCGGGAGTCCTGTTCCTTGGGCCCAAGTTTGCTTTCAGAGAGCTCCGACCTAGGAGGGGGTGGGTGTCCACCCATGGGCCGAGGCTGCCTCTTCCCTGCTGTGGGGGAGGGGTCCTGTCATCTTGAGTCTTCCCCAGCCCACGACAGCCAAGCCCCAGCTGAGCTCAGGTGTGAGGAGATCAGAGGCCTCTGTCACAGGGTGTCTGTCCGCTGGGTGAAGGCATCCGCTGGGTGAAGGTGCAGACCCCTGGGGCTGGGGGACTCTGACCTCCTGAGAACCTGTGGACCCTGATGCCTCCTGGGCAGGTGGGCCCCGTGAGGGATGAGCTGGTCAAGGCAGGTGACTCTCGGGGCCGCACAGGGCCCTGCCTGACAGCAGGTGGGGCAGGTCGGGTGAGGAGCCCTCAGTCCAGCCCAAGGCCCACAGGACCTAGAATAGGCCGAGACTAGGCCCTGGCGCTGGAGCCTGACCTTGACCTTGTTCAGACCACGGAGCTGATTTGTTCCACAGACTGAGAATCCACAATGACCTTTCGGCCGGGAGGAGCCCAGGGTGGTATCACAAACACCAGCCCAGGGGCCAGGCTCAGGCACAGAGGGGTGGGGCCCTGGGGTGGGCATGGGGTGCTGTGGCGGAGCCCAGTGCTGGGGGTGGTGCACGAGGGACCTGTGTGGTGAGCACAGGTAGGGGTGGTAGGAGTGGTGGGTGCAGCTTGCCCTGGGTCTGCAGGTGGCCCACAGCGGAGGATCACCCACCACTGAGGGGAGCCATCTGTGGCTGCAGATGGGGACGTGGCTGGAGACGTGGCCGGGCACGTGGAGATGTGGCTGTGGGCGTGGCCAGGCATGTGGAGATGTGGCTGTGGGCGTGGCTGGGCATGTGGAGATGTGGCTGTGGACGTGGCTGGGCACGTGGATGTGGCTGTGGACGTGGAGATGTGGCTGTGGACGTGGC